TAATGAATATGCATGGATATGTAATCCATAATGAAACCGATAATTTTAATAAATTTTGCTGGAATTTAGGTTATGATTCCAATTATTTGTTTCCTCTTCACTTGAATAAATATCTTCGATATTTCTCTCTTTATTATTAATATTATATTTAGCTGCAGAATGTATTTGCGATCACATTCTTTAACGATTTCTACTTTTTGCTATTTATAATAAATGCAATAATTTGTAATTATTTAAATGTACTTGTTAATGAAAGCACTCTTACTTTCCTTGCACCACAAATTCACTCCCAATGTTTCATTCACGGTGTAAATAAAACGCAAACGTGTTTACATTCGTAAAACTATGTGCATACAACATATGTAACGAAATAAAAACTGGCAGAATGCTATCAATCTACTTAATTTACCGTCTCCTGTAATGACGTCAAAATATGATTTCGTATTAAAACACAAGGCATTCGCGCCTCAAGATATGATTCATCCATTTATGATACACTAAACTGACACGTAAATCCCATTATCTGATATTGACAGAGTATCATTGTGTTCATTATAATCTATTGAACTATATTGTATATCTAAATTGTGAATATCCATCGTATATTAATGCATTAATGACCGATCACGAGTTAACTCACGTTCTTATGCCCAGACGTTGCAAAATTGTTGATCAACAATATATTAAAAAATAAGATAATATTCTTGAGTCTAAATTGCTTAATTTTTCTTTGGAAATAAATAATTGTTTCACGTTTACAATTAATATCGAAACACACACTATGCGGTGATTTAAGTAGAGTATGTCAATTAGTTGCATGCTTGTGACGTTAACGTTAATAAGGGCCATAATAACGTTAATAAGACCGAAGCAACGCTTTAAACGATCATTTAAAAAAGGCAGGAACCCCCCGACGTTCTTGTATGTTCTATCTTTCACTACTGATTTATATTTTCAATATTTTCAATATTTTCAATATTTTCAATATTTTCAATATTTTCAATATTTTCAATATTTTCAATATTTTCAATATTTTCAATATGTTCTGTCGATAGAAAATTCATGATATTTGTTGCAATTCATTCACTATGGAATACTCGACCTTGATAAATACATACGGAAGTCAGTAACAGATTAGATTTATCAGCGGTTTATCTCCATCATTATAAAATATAACGATTGCTCGCCCCTCGATGGCAGTTTAAGATCGATCATCATCAGAACGTAAGATTGCAATTATTCTACCAGTATCANTTCTATCTTTCACTACTGATTTATATTTTCAATATTTTCAATATTTTCAATATTTTCAATATTTTCAATATTTTCAATATTTTCAATATTTTCAATATTTTCAATATGTTCTGTCGATAGAAAATTCATGATATTTGTTGCAATTCATTCACTATGGAATACTCGACCTTGATAAATACATACGGAAGTCAGTAACAGATTAGATTTATCAGCGGTTTATCTCCATCATTATAAAATATAACGATTGCTCGCCCCTCGATGGCAGTTTAAGATCGATCATCATCAGAACGTAAGATTGCAATTATTCTACCAGTATCAAGAATAAATCTTCGATCGCAGTTTGTGTTGATTTCTCGCAAAAGACTTACAAAACTGTCATGAACACTGCGCATAGTTCGAAATGTTCGACGAAGTGTAAACTGTACAGTGACTCCAAAGAAAAACTGTTTTTATGCAATGTCACAGCGTGACAGGAAAGTGTAATACATAAAGTTGTCGAAGAAACCGGTCTAATGATCTTGTTGTTCACGAAAGTTTACATTGTGGTGGAATAGACAGACCAAGAAAGGTGATTAGTTCATTAATCATGTGACTTGAAATTCAATGACGGGTGGATATTTCAAAATACATTATACTAGCCGGCGAGTGATGGTTCTGGAAAATTTCATTCATTTGTTTTGTCGAATTCAATATATTTATTAAATCACATTATATTATATTAGATTACGTTACGTTATCAATGTTTGCTCGTTTCAAAACTCTAACAAGAGAGTGATAAATCGTGAAAAGAATATTCGAGCAATATCTTACGTTTAAGTGTGGCAAATAATAATATAAAAATCGTTTTTAATAGTGTACCTATCAGTTGAATTAATAGTAAGTCAGCTATTGATTCAAAGAAGAAGGAATCTGTGGTATCAAAATGATTGCGGAAGAAACTAAGAAAGTTCCTCCAAATGGAAAATGGGGTTGGATGATTGTTTTAGCATATGCTTTAAACGGGGTATGTAAAAATTGCCATGTTCTATTATTATTGAAGTTAATTAACTCGAACGAGTTACGCTAGCATTGAAACATTGGAAATCACCAGAAATTATCATTGACGGAGGAAAATTACCTGCCTCCGTCAGACGGAAGAAATCCCACCATTAGACTGAAGATGACTTTAATGTAAATTTTCATTCTTATAAGTTACTTTATAAAAATTAGGATGAAAGAAAGACTTCTCTTTTATCGAATAGAGGCATTCGTAAGGAAAAAATTGAAAGAAAAATGTTACTATTCAATCTTTCCTACCAAAATAAACATATTAAAATGAACCTTCTGCCAATTCGTTGAAGAAAATGTTAACAGACAATCGAGGTTTCGCATTATCATGCAGTTATGCTTAGTTAACACGCTGATGCAGAGCATGATTCGAAGAAAATTTTCGGAGAATGTTGATGACCTTGCAGGAACGAAATTTAAAACGGTTGTAAAATGAAAAGAATTCAATCACATCGACCATTACGTTTTATTCAAAGGATTAAAGTTGCATCGACATCTAGATCCTTAGCAAGATGTTCCGTTGATAAATGTTAGTTAAACGGAACTATAGAGCTGTTTATTTTTTTTTTAACGGATGGGAGATTTTCGATATCCTTTGAATTACGAAGAGATCGCTTTAATGATTAGGCGAGTTTGTTCTGATTTCTGCATGTTGGATATCGTATCCTCAACTTGTTAACTCTAAATTATAACTTGTTAAACATTTTTATTTGCCCAAGTATCTGCGATCTAATTACTATCGTGCAATATACAACAATTATTTTCAGATCTCAACCGGATCCCTTCTGCACGGGTTCGGATTAGTATTCAAGGACACATTTCCCCTTTTCGGTTTCAATGCGACACAGGCGGCAATTATTATAAATACAAATTTAGCTTCTGGCATGATACTCGGCTTAATTAACGGGCCTCTATTACGCACCCTTGGATACAGAAAAGCGGCTTTGATCGCTAGTTTATTGTATACCACTGGTATAATTGTAACAGCGTTCAGCAGATCTTTCATTCTAATTCTAATATTCTACGGTTTATTTACCTGTGAGTATCAATCATTTGCGAATAAATACCATTTCCGAACAAAAGCTATTTCTAAAATGTCCATAATAATCTTTTCTCTGATTACTTTTCCGTATAAACTGCAATTAACAAGTTAATTCAATCGTTTTGGAAACGATTAAATTAATACGACACCATATTATTTAGGCTTGACAAACGTCTTAACAAATGTTTCTATTGTTATTGATTGCAAAATATTTGAACTGGCTAGACGTTTTTATTTACTTACTTAAAATATTCTATTTAAATGAAGAAGATCAAAGATGACACACGAAATACATAAATACAAATATCGATTCATCATTGTTCTCAATTATGCAAGCCAATCTTCGTTCGTATTTTCTTCTCCAAAAACATTAACTCATAGTTCATCGAATGAATCATTTCGTTCGTGTATATACAATCATGTCAAGTTAATTAGTGTGTTCTCTTATACAGCACTCGGCATGTGGCTGTCAATGTCCGCCTTTTCGTTCGCTCTAAATTCATATTTTACAACGAAGAGAGGGCGCGCCTTATCTTTAGCGTTAACAATTGTTGGACTTGGTCCTATAATATTACCACAACTAACAACGATTTCACTCTCTTACTACGGATTTCAGGTACGCTTACGATCAATTCAATTAATCTACTTTGGTCTGTGATGAAAGATGAAAAATGTCTTTAGATCTTGTGCTTCCTTTCTTAGTCTCGATCTATTAACATACAGTGGAACATATTTTTAAAATAGTTCAGTAGTTACAATAACAATTTGCCATAATTACATATTAAAGTTTTTCATAACAAACAAAAGTTCCCTGTTTCACGTTGTATAGATGCGCATAATGGCACTGATTTTATTGTTTCACATGTTGCGAACTTGCTTCATCATGTTCTCAATGTGAACGCTATTAAAATATTCCATTCACATTTCTTTTCTGAATAACCAAGATACTGATCGAACAATTGCAATATTTTTGATGTTTTTAAATATCGTGTTACTAGGAT